GAAAATCAATTTATAAATACCCGCCTAACCGGCGCGGAACTAAAAGAAGTCTTTTTTAAATTTGAAAACGGAATTTCTCCGGGCTATGACGGACTTCCAGCTGAATTTTAAAAAACCTTTTGGCACATTTTAGAAAAAGATACCAGCCACTCTATGAAAAAATCAATAGTTTCACTAATTCCAAAACAAGGAGATTTTAATAAATGCAAACATTGGAGGCCCATATCTTTAATCGGCGCTGATTATAAAATAAACACAGAAGCGCTGTCCCTAAGACTTGAAAAAGTAATGGGAAAAATTATTGAACAAAATCAAACCTGCGGAATTCCAGGTAGAACAACTTTTTCAAATTTACATTTAGTCCGTGATCTTATAGATTACGCAGAATTTAAAAATCTACCTAGTTTCATTTTATCTATAAACCAAGAAAAAGCGTTTGACTAAGTCGATTGTTCGTTTCTGCTGCAAATTCTTTAAAAATTCAATGTCGGAGAAAATTTTGTGTTTTTTGTTAACACTCAATATTCAGATATTTCAGCATCTGTTCTGAATTGCGGTTTTTGTCGGCCTGCTTTACCACGTAAAGAGGAGTCAGACAAGGAGACTCACTCTCTCTTCTTCTGTTTTTATTGCCAAAGCTCTCGCTTAGTTGGTCAGAGCGGATAATTGAATAGAGGATTTCCTTTTACCAGGAAAACCAAAACCCTCTAAATTACAGCAGTACGCAGACAATTCAAACTTTCTTTCCAGGGGCGTAAAATATGTCTGCTTTTTCTTCGAAAAAGTAAAACTGTTTGAAAAAGCAAGTGGTTCGGTGAGCAAAGCCTCAAAAACCAAGGATCTTGCTCTTGGGGATTTTGATCCTAAAATGTACCCAGAATTGGACAAAATAGAGTGGAACAATAACACCAGTTTCAAAATATTGGGTGTTACCTTTTACACCAGATTGAGTAGTTTTACCAATTTCAACTGGCTAGTAACTTTAAACAAAGTAGAGAAAAAAATCAAGTTTTTGAGACTACGCACTTTCTCACTTAGGGGAAAGACTAAATACGCTAGCAATGTCAAAAGTATGATTTCTAACAAGCGTGTTGCCCATCCCAGATTGGCTAATAGAGCGTTTGCATACAGCCATTTTCGAAAATCTGTGGCAAAAGACCAATTTCAATCCGGTCAAGAGAGAGACACTTTTCTTACCCGTCAAAAGCGGGGTCTCGGAATTTTATCGCCGAAGGAGCAAAGTCTTGAACACCTCAAAAAAATCTTTCAACTGATAGAATGCGGTGAGGAAAAAACTCACGATTATTACTATTTTTCAAGGTATTGGTTGAAAAGTTCACTTATAAAATTCATTAACCAAAACCAATGCTGGAACTTTTTAAAGCAGAACAGTTTTCCAAAACACTGGGAAAACAAAACGTCTCAGTACTACAAAACAACTATTGAAATATTAGGTAAAAACGGGTTCCTTTTTTAACATACCCCCTAAAATCAAAAATATTTTTTACCTAGAAGTGGCAAAAAACAAAAAGGCAATCGTGCCAGCAGAACTTTTCCGGAATGGTTCAACAAAAACAACCATGCCGTAGACCCAAATTTGGAAATATATTTTTACCTCCCACGCATGAGGACCGACACAAAATATCCTCTTTCGTTTTTTAAACACAACAGTCTACCTTCTGCGGCCTTGCTAGCCAAAGCAATATATCGTTAAAAATAACAAATGCAAAACTTGTGGTAAAATTAAGGACAACATTCATATCATTGCCTACTGTCCTCCTTCTGTTGAAATATGGGAGTATTTTAAACATGTATACAATTCTTTGACATTCCAAAACAATTTTTCTCCGATAAATTCAAATTTCTCGATTAAGACAGCGAATTTATCGGAAAAAAATCCTACTTCGCAGCTGCTATTGACATTCACTCAAACCATAATGAGCGCCATATGAAGCAGTAGATGTCACCACATGTTTAGTAATATAAAAATTGACCCAATGGCAGTGATCAAGGTGATAATCAGGAACATCAGAAATATTATTACATTAAAACATAATTATCATGTCCGTAGAAACACTGCGGACATTTTCTGTCAATATTTTTGTATTAAGAACGTTTTTTGCCAAGTAGAGAACGGAAATCTGAAACTAAACATATGAGCTGAAACAAAACATCGGCTCATAGCAAGATCTGCATGTTTAGTAAAAATTTCCTATTCTCTGCCAATGTTTTTATTTTTTTCTTACACAGTTTTTTTAAATTTTTTTTTTAATTTTCTAGAAAACAAAGAAAAACATTTTTGAAGGCCTATAGATATTATATGTATTACATATATATAAAGATAATATATATTATAAAAAACAAAAGGATGAGAATTTTTTAAAACGCTTTTTAAAATTCTCCGTTCATGAGTAAAACAAACTATTTTATAAATCTCTTATCAAATCCACTTATATAAGACACTCTTATAAGATCCATATACGGAAAAGATGCGCATGTTAATTTATTTTTTTGCCAATTTTGTCTGGACTCGCGTTTAAAGCAATTTATTTAGAAAATTTCTAAACTATTTTATTTTACCAAATAATAATAAGAGAGTAAGAAATGATCTATGTGGAATAAATTAGTATAGAAATGCTGGCTTTGATAAAGACCCATATGGTCCGGAAAGGTAGGGTATGCATATAAAAAAAAAAGTATAGAGAAAGTCATTGTGGAAAAGACTTACAGAGATTCATGTTTTTACAGGTCCGATCATGTGAAACTTTTTGTACCGATAGTCACGTTTTAAACGGGCATATAGAAAATACTAATATCCAATCGGCGATTTACCTAACGGTTACCGTAGCATTTAACGTTTATTAAGGTTAATTATAATATAAATTTTTGTTTTTCATTGTTTTAAGTAGGAAACAACTGATATAGTTTTTGTACATGTATATAGCTATTTTTCTACAGCTCACTACAAAATATTGTAGTAAGGAATAAGTATAGAAAAGGGCGATTTGGAATAAACTTAGAAAGACCCGTATTTTACGGGTTATGACAGCTAGTATTTAATATATTGACAGACAGGTACAAATATAAATAAAATTTAGCAATTTTTTTTGTTTTGAAGTTAATTTTAAGGTTTTTTAGTTTACGTTTAAATATGAGTTTAAATTGTTTATATCTTGAACGATTTTTTTAATAACATTTTCTGAGAAATCAAGTTATCTAATTTTGTGATTAAAGAATTTTTGGATATTAGTTTATTGTAATGATAAGCGCCACTATATATGATACATTAAAATTTCCTATTCCTCGAGTTTCGTATATATTTATATGTCAATTAGAAAACTCTTTTGAAAAATGAAAAATTACTTTTAAGTTAAGAATTACTCGAAAAAAAAGAGTAGATTTAAATACAAATACAATAAATGAGACTTTGCTGAATATAGATAATAACTCCTTTGAGCAGCGACCATGACAGTATATTTAGAAAAGAAAAATGCAACTTTACGACAATGGGAAGGAACTTTACGACTATGGGAAGGAACTTTACGATAATGGGAAGGAACTTTACAACAATGCGAAAAAACTTTACAACAATGGGAAGGAGGCTCAAGCTTAGCAGATAAAGCTTAGCAGGTCCAACTACATTTACCACACGTTTTTTGATCTTGTCTAGAAAATGAAGAGCGTCATTAAACTGAACAGCCCAAATATGACAACAGTATTCCATACAGGGACGAAAAAAGAAAACTTTAAAGGTAGAGAATGAAATAAGGAGTAGGAAAATGACGAGCACGAGTATTGCTTTTATTAAAGACAAATTTTCTATAAAATTCTTGTAGTATACGACTCTTTTTGGTTTGCACTTTAGTCTTAATGGCGATCAAATGGATTAAACTATTTGATTACATAAAATCATGAACACAAGGTCTATTAGAGGGTGGGGAGGATTTTAAGAAGGGGAAATTCAGTGGCTTTAATTTTTCTGAATTCTTTAATTTTTTTAGGTATACCTGCAGGTATCTATTGATATATATATATATATATATATATATATATATATATATATATATATATATATATATATATATATATATATATATATATATATATATATATATATTTATATATATATATATATATATATATATATATATATATATATATATATATATATATATATATATATATATATATATATGTATACATTTATATATATATATATATATATATATATATATATATTATATATATATATATATATATATATATATATATATATATATATATATATATATATATATATATATATATATATATATATATACAGGGACTACTTAAAGTCCGGGTCGCACGGCATTGAATCGATGTGAAATCGACGAGAGGGCTGACTTTAGCGCCTTCAATATACCAACATGTAATGTTAATAGCTTAAATAAAAGAGTGGTATTTAAAGATTATTGATAAGCTGCAACAAATGTTGATTCATATAGATTATATAATGTATTAACTTTAATTAATTTATTTTTTTAAGCCTTTTTATAGTACTTTTAAAGTAGTAAAAGTATTTTTATTAAGATGTTTATATGATGATTGTATTGCAATAATAAATACTACTTAAATATTTTATGACTACTTAAATATTTATGACTATTACTTACTTATTATATTATGAATATTACTTACTTAATTACTTAATTATTATATTTATGAGTAGTAATTGCTTAATTATTTATGACTACTTAAATATTTTATGATAAAAAATGAAAAACAGTAACATACTATTACAGTACGAAGATTTTATTTGACTTTGAGTATAATTACGTTTTGATGCAAATCAAGTCTTCAAACTGTTACTAACAGTTTTAGGGGTACTTGAGTTACTTTACACTAAAGTAACTTGAGTTACTTTAGACTAAAGTAACTTTTTTAGTACTAAATAAAGTTGAGTACAAAAAAACATAAGAGTGTTAAGTTATTATTGTACTAAACTAAACATATTTTTAAGGTTATAATATTTAAAAAATATTAATTTTATTCTCTATTTAAAAATAAATTTATAAAACCATTACAGACATGCCTAGAAAATGCTCAGTAGGTAATTGTCGTGGAAATTATGACAGTGCAAATGAGCATGTTAAAGTTTACAAATTTCCAAGTGACAAAGAATTATGTGAAAGATGGTTAGCAGCTTTACCAAATAAAATTCAATCACCAACAGACAATATGGGTGTTTGTGAAAAACACTGGCCTTTGAGGTGTAGTATGCACTATCCAAAAAGATCTAAATATCAGGTGAGTCGAATTCATATATATAAACAAAAATTTCAAATCAATGTTGTAGTTATACTTGTAAGCTTTATTTAGTTCAAATTAAATAGATAGTCTAAAATCAATGGAAACTTTTTAGATTCCATCAGATCCTCCTTCACTATTTCCTGGGTGTTTTCCTTCAATGTTACGACAAACAGGCAAAACATTCCGTCAAACAAATTTTGAAAAAATTTCAATTGAATCAAGAAACTCATTCTGTGATGAACTCGATTCTTTCAACAAGAGTAATAAAATAAAAAATTTCTTACAGTTTCTTACAGATGTAAAGCAGCGGTAAGAAAAGTTCTAATTAAATATAATTTTTGTAGGATTTTTTTGTGTTAGTATTACTAATAAATAATTCTTTTAAATATTTCAAGGTTTCCTGATTATTTTGTTGTTACAAATGCATTGGATCTGACTGTTTTTAATATGACATTTTCGCGTCCACCAGAAACTAATATTTCTGTTACAATCAATACTCACACTCAACAGTTACATGCTTATATCAAACACACACAAATTCATTGCAATGATATTTTGGGGTTTTCTCACAAACTCACTCGGTGGTCGCAGTTAGAAGCAATTATTTCAAGAATGAAGTCATCTAAACCTGAATTAAGCGAGGAACTAAAACATTTATTGCAAGAGATTGAATGTACATATGGAGAAAAATCTGATGAAATAAATTTTTTGATTGAACAACTACAACTGCAGATGATGCCTGTGAGAGGCAAGCGTTACTCTACGCTAGTTGTACGACAAGCTTTAGAACTATACCTTTCTTCAAGATGCTGTTATCGAATTCTTTGTGATACACTTTTACTCACACATCCAAGAACTCTTAAACTAAAATTAGGCAGAATCGGTGAAGTAGGAACACAAAAGGAATGCGAAGAATGTATTAAAACCGTGTTTGAAACATTAATTATTTCGGAAAAACGTTGCTGCCTGCTATTTGATGAAATGTATGTGAAACCAAGTATACGTTTTCGTGGATGTCATTTAATTGGTTATAGTGAAGACAATCCTGCTGAAATTGCCAAGACAATTCTTTGTTTTATGATTAAGCCAATGTTTGGAAAACCAGCTTTTGTGTGTCGTATGGCCCCAGTTTATAAGCTATCTGGCATTTTTGTACAAAACTTAATTGTTGAAATCACACAGACAGTTGCTAAACTTGGTGGAGAAATTTTATGCCTTATTTCAGACAATCTTCCCACAAATCGTAGCATATATAAATTTTTTGCTTTAAGTTTAAATGAGCCATGGCTTGGTAATATTTGCAACCAAAGTATAATAATGCTTCATGATCCAGTGCACTTGTTTAAATCAATTCGAAATAACTAGCTTACAGAAAAAACTGGAACAATTCATCTGACACTAAATAGTCAATTATTTAAAGGGTATTTGGAAGATTTGGTAAGTTTATATGAAAAAGAAAAAAATAATGTTATCAAGTTGACAAATCTTTCATACAAAGCTATTCATCCAGGTGTAATTGATCGACAAAATGTCACCCATATGTGTGCTGTTGTTAATGAGAAGACTGTAGCAGCCCTTAAAATTTGTGATTTTAAAGAGACAAGCAAGTTCCTTGAAAGAATATTATTGATATGGAATTACCTTAATATTAAACAAGAAGGTTTGGACATATGTTTAAATGATCCAAATAGAGCTTCATACAAAAATGTAAATGATAAACGACTTCAAGAGATTTTGACATTTGCTGAAGCTGTTGCAAAAATGCCAGGAGGAAAGGGCTGGAAGCGGAACAAATCATTCACTTGTGAAACGAAAATTTCTTTGTCGATTATGCTTTACGGAATTGTAGATTTAATCCGAAAATTGCTGAATGAAGATCATCAATATGTTCTTCCCAGAATATTTCAGACAGATCGGTTAGAAGGAGAATTTGGAATATACAGGTAGTTAAATAATTCCTTACCTATTTATGATCAGATTGATATTGTTGTTATTGCATTTAAGCAGGGTCAGACTGGCACAGAAGGGCCCGGGGGCAAAAATAAATTAAATCCTTAATCACATATTTTTTGGTTATAAGTAGAAATAACTTTTATTTAGAAATAACTGGTATTTTGTAACATCAAAAATGATATTTCATAGAAATAACTATTTTTATGTATTTTTTATGTATTTTATGTACTTTTTATGTATTTTATTAAATTTTTATGTATTTTTTGTGGCAGGGGCTCTGGGGTAAATCCCTCCCAACCCCCCTCACCACTCTGACCCTACATTTAAGAACACTAATTTTCGTATGTATCTTTAAATAAAATTCAATTTATATATAGTTTAGATTTTTTTATGCCAGGCAACTTTGTGGAGGCAGTTATCATGTTTCGGTTGAAGAAGTTAAAAATAGTCTTCGTTTACAACGCCTGAAGTTGTTTAGTAAATTGGATGCTATGGGTGTACCTATTTCTCAATGCTCAATTATTCAATCAGAGTGTTGTCAATTAGATCTGAATGAGGATGACATTAGTTATCTTGATATATCTGTCTCTTCAATTGATGTAATTTCTGAAGAAGATAATGCTGCCCTATATTACATTTCGGGTTATGTCCAGCATAAATTTTTACCAAGTATATCCGTATCTGGTACCTTTGTTACCAATGCATCTGAGTTTACTGAGTTAGTATCTCGTGGTCGACTATGTCATCCTACTGAGGATCTATTTCAATATGTCAGATATGCGTATTCTCTTTTTATTTTATTACCTAATGCAGAGATGCGGTTCCAGTGCGTTAGATACATTTCTAAACTTTTTATATATTTCTATACAGCTTTACCTTTCGATTTACAAGCATTACCAATCAACACAGTTGTTTCCACTATTTTGAATTGTTTTTTCAAGGGTCTAACGAAATTGAATGAATCGTCAGACAAAGTTTCTTTAAATATTGAAGACCGCAAAGTTAAAAAGTTTTGCAAATAAATCAAACAACACGCAATATGTGGTTAAAATGGTTATTTTTTAAAATTGTTAACATTGTTTTAACACAGAAGTTAGATCATTTTAGATAATCTACTTTTTTTGTTGTTGAATTTTGAAAATTCTTATATTTATAATTATATTTATTATTTAAAATTCTTATATTTATTAATGTTTGAAGATTAATAAATAATGAATTAATTTTAATTTTTAATGAAATGATTTAAATGGTTTCAAGTAATTAAATTTTATAAGATCCCTTTATTTACTGCATAAGATCCTTTGATTAACTACATAAGATCAATTTATTTACTAATTAAAGATTAAAGTTACTAATCCAGGCCTTATAAAAATAAGATTCCTTTTTTACTATAAATTGTCATAAATTTAATGAGTTATGAGATTAAGATGTTATTTAATGAGAAACAAAAAATAACTCTGAATAACTGTTAATATTAGTATCAAAATCATTTAAGTGTTAAACTTCAAAAAATTTTCGAACATATTCAACTTTCAGCCCTCTCGTCAAAATCGCATGAAATCGAAGTTGCGCGTCCCGGTATTTTAGTAGTCCCTATATACCAGGTATACCGGTATGAAGTGAGCGTCAAGATACAAATGTCTCGATAGGGAACATTTGTTGTGAACGAGCCTTTATTTTTTTTTGTTTGTTTGCTATAACATCTGTGAAACATATTTAGTATACATCAAGTCATTGAACAGACAACATCATATTTTTTCATCGTGTTAAAAATGTCGAATTTTGTACCGGAAAGTGAAGCATTAATTTTTTGTTTTCATTTGCAGAAAAGTGCTGCAGAGTTGCATCGAATGCTTGTCGAGGCATATGGTGATCATGCTCTATCAGAAGCAACATGCAAAAGATGGTTTCAACGGTTCAGAAATAATGATTTTGATGTGAGAAATGAAGAACGTGGAAGACCACCAAAAAAGTTTGAAGACGCCGAATTGCAAACGATATTGGATGGAGATGACACTTTGAGTCAAAAGCAAATGGCAGAAATGTTAAATGTTGCACAACAAACAATTTCTGACCGTTTAGAAGCTATGGGAAAGATCCAAAAGTGTGGAAAATGAGTGCCACATGAATTGAATGAAAGACAGATGGAAAACCGAAAAAACACTTGTGAAATTTTGCTTCGAAGACACGAAAGAAAATCGGTTTTGCATCGGATTGTTACTGGCGATAAAAAATGGATTTATTTTAAGATTCCTAAACGGAAAAAATCATGGGTTAATCCGGGACAACCATCAACATCGACTGCAAAACCAGATCGATTCGGCAAGAAGACAATGCTGTGTGTTTGGTGGGACCAGAAAGGTGTGGTGTTCCACGAGCTCCTAAAACCTGGTGAAACCGTCAATACTGATCGCTACCGACAACAAATGATCAATTTGAACCATGCATTGATCGAGAAACGACCAGAATGGGCCAGAAGACACGGCAAGGTAACTTTGCTCCATGACAATGCACCTGCACACAAAGCAAAACCGGTTCAGGATACAATCAAAACCATTGGCTGGGAGCTGCTACCCCACCCGCCGTATTCACCAGACTTGGCTCCTTCCGACTACCATTTGTTTTCATCGATGGGACACGCATTGGCTGAGCAGCACTTTGATTCCTACGAGGAGGTCGAAAATTGGGTGTCTGGTTGGTTTGCTTTAAAAAACGAACAATTTTATTGGCGTGGTATCCACAAATTGCCAGAAAGGTGGTCAAAATGTGTAGAAAACAATGGTCAATACTTTGAATAAAATGTTTTATACTTTCCCATTAATAATTAGTATTTATTTTCACAAAAAACGCTCATTTCATACCGGTATACCTGGTATATATATATATATATTTATATATATATATATATATATATATATATATATATATATATATATATATATATATATATATATATATATATACATATATATATATATATATATATTTATATATATATATATATATATATATATTTATACATTGTTTGTATATAATATGTATACATATATAAATATATATATTATATACATACAAAATGTTACAATATTTAAAAAAAATAATAATACCATTGTTATTAATAATTTTTGGGTAACTTTGTGCAAAAATTGTATGCATATAACTTAAGTAAGTTCTTATTTAACTTAAAAAGAGTTAATTTATGAATGTAAGGTAATGTTTGAAACAATAGTATATTAAATAATTATATAATACTTTGCATGTGTTTATATGTTTATATAATTTAATTTTAAAATTTTTATTTAGAAACATATTTAAACAATTTAAATAATGGTGAGAAATTATGTGCGAAAAACACAGAGAGGTGCAACAAATGATAGGATAAAGTCAGCGTTAGAAGCTATGGAGATGGACTGCAGTCTGAAAAATGTTGCATCAGAATTTAGTATTAACAAAAAAACATTACAACGTCATCGAGATGGAAAAGTAAAGGTAGTTGGTGGTTTATCTCTGGGTGGTAAATCTCCTGTATTTAGTAAAGATTTTGAATTAAACATTGTAACACAAGTTCAGATTATGGAAAGAGCATTATTTGGCTTGACAACAATAGATATACGTTGCTTAGCATATGATTTTGCTAAACAAATGGGAATTGAAAATCCTTTTAATAATGAATCAAAAATGGCAGGAAAGGATTGGCTGCAAGGATTTATGTCTCCCAACACACAACTTTCTATTCGAACCCCACAAGCCACCAGTGTAAGCAGAGCTGTTGACTTCAATAAACCAAAGTTAAATCAGTTTTTTTCAGTATACAAGTCTTTATTTGAGGAACATAAGTTTTCAGCCAAACAGCTCTGGAATATGGATGAAACTGGAATAACAAATGTCCATAAGCCAGGAAAAATAATTGCAACAAAGGGAAAACGACAAGTTTCAAAAATAACTTGTGGAGAAAGAGGTGCTACTGTGACTGTCGTGTGTGCAATGAGTGCAAGTGGTGTTTATGTCCCACCATTATTTATATTCCCCCATAAGCGAATGACTGATAGGCTGGCTTTTGATGCACCTTCAGTGTCAACTGTTAGAGTTAGCTCCAGTGGATGGACAGATTCATCTTTATTCATCGAATGGTTAACACATTTTGTTTCTGTGACTCATGCAGCTAAAATAATGAGCAATTAATTGTACTCGATGGTCATCATAGTCACAAAACACTTGAAGCCATTAACTTTTGTCGCAACAATGGGATTCACCTCATAACTGTTCCACCTCATTGTACACACAAAATGCAACCTTTAGACCGTACATTTTTCAAACCATTGAAAGTTGGTTACAATACTGCAGCAAGCAACTGGATGTTATCGCATCAGGGGCGTAGAATTTTATTTTTTGACATGGCAGATATTTTTACAACTGCCTATAACTTTACTGCAAACCATGACAAAGCAATCAATGGATTTAGATGCTCTGGTTTATACCCAATAAATGAGCTTATTTTTAACAATGAAGCCTTTGATGCAGCTTTGCTCACTGATGAAGCTATACCATTGGAAAGCTGTCAGCAATCAAGTGATTTGCCTAGTATACCTCTTGTTGCACCTATTCAGTTGCCAGATGTCATAAGCACAGCAACTGTTACCTCAAAAATGAAGACTGTTACGAAAGAACCAGCACAATCAAATGATGCAGTTTTGCCAGTTGTTGATGAGCATCTTGGCCTTAAATCCGCCCCTAATATTTTGGAAAAGATTTCCCCACGTCCTAAAATTACTGTATTAAGACAGCGTAAAAGAAAGACAGAATCAGCTGAAAATCTTACTTCTTCGCCTTTCAAGAAGAGATTAGAAGAACATGAAAACAATGTAAAAGAAAAGCAACAAGAAGCAATATCGCGTAAAGAAAAAGCTGCACTTAATAAGGTAATCAAGCAAAAAAAGAAATCAGTAAATTTAAGGACAAAAAAACCAAAGAAGTCTAAAAGCAGAAAGCCTCTCAATGTTTTATTACTGATACTACTTTATGCATCATATGCTCTTGTGCTTATAATGTGCCCCCATTTGATGATTGGACACAATGTACTAAATGTACATCTTGGTACCACTCTCGTGTGGTCTAGATGATTCAGACTTATGCTACTACTGTGAATCATATATCATGTATATACATCGTTATTAGAACATTTATTTTAATTATTTATTGCTAATAATTAAAAAAGACGTTATTTATCTTCAAGACAATTGTATAGAATAATTGCATAGCATTTATTTGCAGTGTTAATATTTCAGTTGTTTTAATAAAATGTAAAGAGTAAATAAAAATAATAACAAGGGCTTTTATTTTTAAGAACTTTAAGTTATTTTTAACAACTGTTTTAATGGTTTGAGGAATAACGCGTGAAAAGCTTTCTTTCTTTAAATCTATAGAGCATCTTGCCCCACCACTGGGGCAAGATGTCTTCTGGCACAAGTTTTTTTTTTTTGATTTTAAAGTTTATCAACAGTAACAAAGTAGTTATTTTATCTTACCAATGTCTTCTCTTATAAGTAAACTTTAATATTAAAAAGAAAAAACACAAGAGAATGTAAAAGTATTTATTATATACGATAAAGTTTGTTAAGGGGGGCATCTTGCCCCACCCTACCCTATATATATATATTCATAAAGCACACAATAAAAGAATCCTTAAAAAAAATGTAAATAAGGAAATGCATTAGTGCAATTTTAAAGAAAAGATAATCGCTTGAAAATATTGATCATATTCAACGCCGTTGCCGTTTACTGTTAACTCAAAGCTGCTGCCGTTACCCAATCGTGCGTGTTTGACACTGAATTTTTTAACCCTTTAACAGTATATGACGGTTATGTCCGTCGAAGGAACAGTGATACCAGTGGCGGATTTAGTATAGGGCGTGGGGGGGGGGGGGGGGAAGGAGCGAGCTGCCCCCCCCCCCCACGCCTCCCTAGAACGGTCTAACGGCACCCCCTAAAACAATTAAAATATATATATATATATATAAGCTTAAATTACTGAAGGCAACCCCGGTCGCCCCTATTTATTGACTTGGCCCCCCCCCCCCCCGCGACACTAAACCTCAATCCGCCACTGAGTGATACGTATATTTAGACGACGAATACAGACGTCGTTAAGTATGCTTTATTCTTAAGACTTTTATCTCAGACAAAACTATATAACTTTATTTATAGCTTTTTCACTAGGAGATCTGAAAATAACTTAAAATTTATGGTGTGTATTTTGTGTGAATTTTTTTTTTCGTAATGCATTAATTTTTTACTCAAAGCAAAAGTTCAACTAAAGAAATAGCGCATGCAAAACAACAACCGATTAACCTAACCCTAATACATTAACATAATTATAACGAATAACCCTAACTCTACACTGTGAAAAACTTTGTGTTGAAAACCAACACTTGATTCGTTTAACATCAGTTAATTTTATATTTTATTAACACCGTTCTAAAGCGCATGCGTTAAACGCAAATTCTTTTTTCTTGCTGATACAAGATATACGTTGAAAGTTTTTCAAATAACGCATGCGTTAAAACTAAACAAAATTGGAGTTTTGAGAAGTAATTATTTTAAATGAAAGTTGTAAATAACTTGAAATATATTTAAAACTTTCATTTAAAATATATTTTTATGTTTTTCGTTTATATTTTTTACTTGTAACATTTCCATTTTAGAATAAACAATGGGTTACTTTTGTGTATTTTGTAAGTCAACCTTAAAACCATTAAAAGCTGTAAGTGATCTTTTAAAACATTTTCTATATCGCCATGGTATTTCTTCAGCTCAAAATTGTAAAAATCCTTGCAGATATGGTGTTTATTGCAGAACATATGACAGTGTCCATGCTCTTCAATTCATTTATATAGAAAGCATCCAAGTGATCTTTATATGGAATATGAAAGTATAAATATTTCTCCTCTGGAAAGCAATTGTAAGCAAATAGATCAACAAGGTATTTATACAGCAGCACATATTGATAAAGACAACAGTTGTAATAATGATTCAAGTGCATTATATCGGAAAAAAAATAAAAGAAATTATTTTAGATGTATTAATGGCTCTCAGATGTCGTAACACAAGTGAAGTTTTTCACACAAGCTTTCGAAAAGAACAGAAGCTTTTGTGCGCAAAAATATTAAAAAATGTTCTGAAATAAATGAAAGCTTTTGAACAAAAAAGTGAATAAATAAAGTCTAATAAATTTAAAGATGATATAGAAACATTTAAAAAATCTACGAATCTAACATCAGCTAAAAAAATCTTATCAATATTAAGTATGGCAGTAACACTCCAAGAAATAATAAAAAAAAAAATGATGAAAGAAATGCTGGATAATTTTAAGAAAGAAACAGAAGTTATGTTTAAAATCAGTATTTGCTGTTGTTTGTGCGAACACAAAAATACATAACGAAAGATTAAATAAATTTGAGACAAATATCATTGCAAATGCAATTAAATTCAAAAAAATTGAAAAAGAGTTTGAAGAGATAAAAGAAAGTTTAAACTTCAACAAAACGTAATCGATAAAAAGAAAGAAAATAACAAACATTAATTAAACAAAATCGAAAACAAACAATTAGAGAAAAAGAAAATTAACAATGAGTTTTTAAGCGAAAAAATCCGTAACCTCGAAGATAACTTAAGAATTAATGGAATACGTAAAGACGAAGTCAAATCATGGGAAGAAACCAAAAAAAAAGTTCATTCATTTTTTCTACAAAAACTGGGTTTAAAGGACATTAAAATTGAACGTGCACATTGTACTGGGCTAAAAAAAGTTGGACGTCCGAGGGTAATAGTTTTAAAACTTTAAAAATACCAAGACAAAGCTAAAATTTTAAAAGAATCAAATCGTCTCAGACGAACAAACATTTATGTAAATGAAGATTTTTCTCGCGAAACGGTTGCAATCAGAAAAAAATTTTTCGAGACGTTTACTGATAATGCTTAATTTTTTCCTAAAGAATTAGAAGGTTTTCTTTTTCAGAATGCAATTAAAAAAACTTCATATCGAATTAGAATTCTCCACCTCAACGTAAGAAGTTTAAATCAAAATTTTGAAAATTTTTTAATATTTTCAGATGAAAAAAAATATTTTTTTACCAAAAAAATATTTTGTTTCTTATTTAGTAAAACAAATATTATTTGTTTTACTGAAACATGGGTTACACAAACTTTTATGTTCCTCATTTTAAAATTATATCACAAGAAAAACCACCTGACGGCGCAAGCGAAAACCTAAACATTTTTTACAACATACTGTGACTTTATTATGAACTGCTTTCTATATAACGATGACTATAAAGTTAAAAGTTTTTATGACACAAATTTTGAAACAGGATCTTTACCCTTAATTAATTGCCCACTAGGGTAACAATTAACTCGGCTACCCTAATAGATAATATCATTATAACAGACATTTTTAATAAAGGTATTCAAAAATAATTTTTTTAATAAAGGTATTCAAATCAAAAAACCTGATATATCCGATCATTTTCCAATATTCCTAATTTTAAACTCAAAGAGCATGACAAAATAACCATGTAAGTTTTACCCCATCCCCCAGAAAATGACATCTTATTATTATTATTTAGCTTTTTAATCAATTTTTTGTTAAATATCACCTCGAAATCTACCGGAATGACACAAAAGTATTTCAGAAAAAGTTCTGAAAAAAATTGATAATATTTGAGAAAATATATCAAATAGTCCGACTAATTGTTATTTTTTTAAAAAGTCGTTATTTTTTTGGCAACTGTTTTGTTCTAACTTGTCGCGTTAAGTCTAACTCATTTTTATTATATAAGGAAAATAGCAAATAAATTACTTTTTTTTTCAAAGTCTGAATAAAAATAATTTAATAATAATTTTTTTTTTATATATGTTAATTTACACATCACCTAGACAACAAATAAAAAATAAGTAGTTAAATAATTTTAGATAAAATTGAAAAGATTTTTTTTAAAATTCTAATATCGGGATTCCTAGGGAACCCCGATAACGCATTTTCATTTCCAGTAAACCATTTCTCGGTTAACATAAGCTTTTACTTTTTCAGTAACTGTTAATGTAAAAAATTACTTTGAATTGAACGAGTTCCGAAGTATGAAAGAAGATATAATTTTTCATAACTTGTTATACTTTTTTCGAACAAA